GCCTGCACGAGGAGATCTGGCTGCGCCGCCCACCTGGCTTTACTGGGTCGTTTCCCCCTGGTACCCAGTGGAGCCTCCGCCGGCCAGTCTACGGTCTCCGCCAGGCGCCACGTGAGTGGCACGACACACTGAGGACTACACTTGCGGCTCTTGGGTTCGCGCCGTCTACTGCTGACCCGTCGCTGTTTCTGCGCACAGACACCTCGCTGCCGCCGTTCTACATTCTCGTGTACGTCGACGACTTGGTCTTTGCTACTGCTGACACTGAGGCACTCGCTCGTGTGAAGTCGGAGCTGCAGAAGAGACACACCTGCACTGACCTGGGTGAACTGCGTAGCTACCTTGGCTTGCAGATCACCCGGGACAGAGCTCGCCGCACCATCACCCTGACTCAGTCACACATGGTGCAGCAGGTCCTTCAGCGCTTCGGCTTCCAGTTCTCCTCACCTCAGGCCACACCTCTGGCTACCAGCCACTCGCTCTCAGCTCCACCTTCGGACGAGTCCGTAGAGCCGAGTGGCCCGTACCCAGAGCTTGTAGGCTGCCTCATGTACCTGATGACTTGCACGCGACCTGACCTCGCGTACCCTCTTAGCATCCTTGCTCGTTACGTTGCGCCTGGGAGACACAGGCGAGAGCACTGGGAGGCTGCTAAGAGGGTGCTGCGTTACCTGTGCAGTACATCAGGCATGGGGCTGGTGCTTGGAGGACGCGACAGAGTTGTCCTCACTGGTCACTCGGACGCTTCTTGGGTGGACGACCTGGCTACGCAGCGGTCGTCACAGGGTTACACCTTCAGCCTTGGCTCTGGTTCTGTCTCGTGGCGGTCCACCCGCTCTTCCTCTGTTCTCGGCTCTAGTTGTGAGGCTGAGATCTACGCCACAGCCATGGCTGCACAGGAGTTACGCTGGCTCACCTACCTGCTGACTGACTTGGGAGAGCGGCCTAGTTCTCCTCCAGTTCTGTACGGTGACAACAAGGCGGCTCTTGCCTTGTGTCAGGAGCACAGACTGGAGCACAGGACGAAGCACATTGCTCTTCGCTACTTTCTTGCTCGAGAGCTTCAGCAGCGCGGTCAGCTTCGGCTTGTGTACGTGGACTCGAAGGCCAACACTGCTGATATCTTCACCAAGGCGCTCCCGCCTAGTGATCATCAGCGGCACTGTACTTCTTTAGGCCTTGTGTCCACGTTTCCTCACTTGCTCACTGCTTGACATTCTTTGTACTGTACTTTATATATATCTTGTTGCTTGCTTGCTAGGTTTTGATCACTGTGTTGCTTGTCTTGTACTATATCTAGCACTGCATGTGAACTGGCCTTGTGGCCTTTACTTGTGCTCGGAGTGTGGTGACGTTGTGATCCACCCTGGGCTTTGCTTTGCTTTGCTGGACTGGTCTTGTGACCCTTTGTTCTCCCCCACTTTGCCTATGGGGGTGTGTTAAACTGTATTATGCTTGTAGGCTGTAGTGGGGTAGCCAATATAGGGTACAACCCCAACTAGGGTTTCATATTTGTACCCAAACTTCTGCTAGTTCATCCATTCTTGCCTAGTTATTTTGAGAGGGGGAGGTTGAGGGGAGGTTGCCGTCGTGTCGTACGCAGCGCCTGTACTCCGGGGCACTCACTCCCGGTAGCTCAGAGAGCCGGTTGCGCCGTCGCCTGTGGGTCCGTTGCTCCTGCTGCTCGTCTTAGCCGCGGAGCCTGTTACTCCTGTACTCCGGGGCACTCACTCCCGGTAGCCACTGTGTCGCACCAGAGCCGTCTGTTGCCCGTGTGCCTGCAGCTTCAGTCGTCGCCTCCCATCTACTCTCCTCTCGCCAGCCCTCCTCCTCCTCACTTGCCCGTTGTGACTACCACTAGCTTTGCTCATAATTGTGAACTTTAAACTATTGCTTCTTAAACTTGTGCTCAGAATGTGTGGTGACATTGTGATCCACCCTGAGCTTGTACTGCTTTGCTTGCTCTGCTGATTACACCCCACTTTGGCTATGGGGGTGTGTCAGAATATTATGCTCTAGCCTGTAGTGGGGTGCTCTGTAGCGAGTACAACCCTTCTAGGGTTTGCTATTTGTATCCCCATTCTTGCTAGTGCAACCTCTCTTTCGCCTAAACTCTCTTGCCTAGCTAGGACTCTCCTAGCTATGGCTCCTAAGACTACCGCTTATCTTGACAATGCGTACATCCTGCTCAAACGCCACGCTGTCAGGTACCTGGCCGAAAGTGTTTTTCGCCAACGTCCAATAACATTGGACGTCGTGACATGCGTACGTGATTGGCTCGGTTTGCCAGTTTCGCACGTGAGGCGATATGTCCCACCCAGGGTGACTGTACCTTGTCGACATTGAACAGGCTAGTGAATCCCCGTGCGAGGAGTCACACACAGGGTGATTGGTCGATTTTACGCATCCCAGATTATTGACAGAGGCGCGCAACCAATCGGAGGTGTACCTTTCGCCACTGGACCAACATTTATCCCCTTCAAATTTCAAAACAATTGATGCGAGGCTGCGCCATACACTGGCCACGTGTTACCGAATGATACGCAGGTTTATCCACGTGGACCTTGGTATGTCGTAGAAATCATCAGGTTAATATCCGCTTCACGTTGTCTGAACCAATATGGTAGAAGATGTTATTTGTGGCTGGTTGCCAGGTTCGTATGCGTTAATTAACAAACTGGTCGCCCTACCACTCCGGTTAATGCTTCCACAAATAAACATCGCAGTATATTAGATTCAGGACCCATGCGAACTATGGGTTTTATGAGCCTGCGGCATGCACTGGTTGTAGGCGGTAATGGGGCAAGATGCACAATTTCACCAATCCTTTACCTTAGTTTTGTGGGGAGTAATAATGTGTTGAACATTTAAGTGGTTAGATACATGTACAGGGGCATGAAACGGTGATACATGGCTGGAACCTGAACCCCATTATGAAATGGTTAGGATGTATGAGCATGCATCATGTTCCCTTGGGCGTTTTTTAGGCTAAATAACATCTTGACCAATAGCGAAATTGCATTGGTGTCTGTTGGGTTTGTTCGGGACGTTTGTGTTTGTAACCGTTAATTACGATCATTGTCAACAACCAATCCGATTTGCGATTACAGAACGCGTACTGTCTCTGTTTTTTAGCATTTCGCGTAAGTAATGCTCGATACGATGGGGTCCCGAACATCTGTGAGTGAAGGACCAATCGCAACTTCTGGGCATCAACGTCTGAACCAATCGCAAACTCGCGTCGCACATTTTTAGAAGTGGCATAGACATAGCCGCTTCAATGGTGTGCGTGTGTACCTATGGAGTACACATGCCCGTATTCGGAGCTGTTAATTTTCCGAAGAATCACCAACCAACCCGGACAACGATTAGTAACCGTGCTGTGTCACGGGTTTTTAGCAACGAAGCATTGTTAGATGTTCTTCCCTACAGAATATCAACTTCTTACGTAGCACTATTACGTAATCCAAATCGTCAAACCTAAGACACCTACAGAAGTGGGTTAGCTAGGTGCTGAACCACACATGCCAGCTACATTATGAATTTATGACGGCCACTAATCTAATGTTCGACTGTGCTGCTGCGTGCTCCAAGCCTAGTACGATCACCAAAGCTCAACCTACCGTGTGGTACACACCTCCCGCAGCCCGGTCGGATCCATACTTCTGGGTGCATGTCGCTGAGTTGTGGTTAGGCCCCCAGGTTCTGCAGCGATAGTTCGCCGGCGGAGCATCCCTGCGCCTGTTGGACGGGGGACGGCCAGGACCCCTACGAGTGAATGTAGGTGCGTCACACACACCCTGAGGCCCTGGTGTTGTCTGTGCCATCAGGGTGTCGATGCAGGTCCCGGGGATGGCGTGGGAGTATGTGACGCGGAGGTTGACTGTGGTGTAGTATTCGCTGACATACTCCCACCCGTTTTTGTTTGCCATGGGGAAAAACGCCATGGCATGTGCGCATGGAAAAGCGTACTCTTTCCAATTGCCGCACTCACAGCTACCCTCGCCACGTAGGTCGACGTTGTAGCTTCGAAGGGTGGTGTGCTCCGCGTTGCCGTTGTTTATCACCTCCGCAAAGAACTCGATGTGGGAGATTTTCACCTCATAGTTCTTTGCCCGCTCGCACTTCGCCTCATATCGTTTTCTCCCCCACTCCGTTAAGTAGTCGTCCCGGGCTCTAGCCTCCTCACGCCGCTCGTGAAACTTCTTGATGTTGTAGTCCCACATTGATGCTAACAGATACGCGGGTGGAAGGCGACGGATGGATTTTACGGCCCCATTGGTCGACTCCGCCATGTTGCTCGTGTAGATGCCGAATCTCCTCGTTGGGGCCGCACATCGAGCCCATTGCTTCTCGTACACCCAGATTCTGTTCTTGCGTGCAGTGTAATCACCGCGAAGGCCTGTTCGGACCCGAACACCATCCTCACCGTCCTCCAGGGAGCCCTCTTCCACGACGGTGGCCTCGTCCTCTACCACGCTGGGCATCGCTTCATTGGTGTTCCCAAGCGGCGGTCCCGGGTCCACAGTAGTAGGAGGAGTGTCACGTGTTGCTGCCGCAGTCGGTGGTGGCTGGCGGGCGGGTGCCGCGGTCGGTGGTAGCTGGCGGGCGGGTGCCGAGGTCGGTGGTGGCTCTCGGGTTTGTGCCTCAGTTGGTGGGGTGACTCCCGGGACCACAGCTCTCAGAACAATGTTGCCAAAGTTGAAGCACGCAGCTGTTCCTCGCCATCCGCTCGGCACCACGATCGGTGTAGAACGTCGCAGTGGAGGTGGCTCCGGCTGGGAAAAAGAAGGTGTGGTTGTTCCGGCAAGATGGGCTGCAACATGGACACGGGAAAGGCCGTTATGGCTTTGTGGGTTGCGGTACCAACCGAGCAGTACTCTATCAAGTTAAGACGCCAGAAAGTGTAGGAGACGTTCACACAAACTGGGGCGTGGTTACGGGTTGCATGTAGTCGTCACGAGCACACATAACAACAGGAAGGGCGTATTGACAACCCGTTATTCAAACGAACCTGTTGCATCAGATGGGTCGTACGGAGTGGTTGGTGACGGCGTTGTGGATGGTCCTTCAGTAGTGGCCGGGCGAGGGGTTGCGGTGGGCCTCGGGACTGCGGGTCCACATGGCGATGCGGAAGATGCTGGTGCAGCTGAAGGGTGGGTCGCAGAAGCGCGGGACGGTGCTGCGGATGGGGGTGGCGCTGCGGACGGCCCTGGCGCTGCCGATGGGCTTGCCGACTCGGATGATGCAGGTGCCCCGGATGTGCGTGTCGCTGAAGCGGGCGACGGTGCTGTGGACGGAAGGGGCGCAGCTGAGGGCCCGGGCGCGGCAGATGGGCCTGGCGTGGCGGATGATGCATGTGCAGCGGCTGGGCGGGTCGCAGCAGCGGGCGACGGTGATGTGGAAGGGCGGGGCGCTGCGGACGGCCCTGGCGTTGCAGACGGGCCTGGCGTGGCGGATGATGCATGTGCAGCGGCTGGGTGGGTCGCAGCAGCGGGCGACGGTGCTGTGGACGGCCGGGGCGCTCCGGACGGCCCCGCCGCCGCGGCATTCGGAGGTGGTCGTCCTTCGCCGCTCTGTCTCTGTCGGCGGCCGCTTCGCTGCGACTGTGCCTGGCGAGCACGACACCGTGCTGCAGCCGCTTCGGCCGCAATGTTGTTGGCGGTCGCACGCGTCCGGCGTGTTTGCTGCACGTTGCGACGGCGAATACGGAAACCAGCTGGTGGAGTGGGGTTTGGACCAGGCGCGTCGGCCAGAGGCGCCGGACCGTAGAGGTAAGTCGTGAGCAGGGGATGGGATTCCCGTGCTCCGACCTTGAGCTCGTTGTACTTCTCCAATGTCCGGGCTGTCAAAAGCCGCCACAACATGTCCGAGGAAGTCTTCCCGAACCGCTTCACGTTCTGCTGCATGTGCCACCCACAAAAGTAGTGCGGAGTCTCAGGGAACACTTCCTTCACCGCCGGGATGAGACCTTTGTCCCGGTCACTGATGATGGCCGCGTCGTCCCGTCCCTTCCAGTCGGAGCAGTGCTTGTCAAAGAGACGGCAAAACCACGTCCATGTGTCCTTGGTTTCGCTCTCTACGAGGGCCCACACGATGGGGATGATCTGCTGATTGCCGTCCATCGCGTTGGCGTACAGCAGGGTAGCCTTCTGAGCACGGATCAGGAAAGTCCCGTCCATTGCGATGACAGGCCTGCAGGTCTTCAGCGCTTCGCGTGTTGCACTCGGCGCCATGAAGAAGCGGAGAAATTCGTGGTTGTACGTCAGAAGCTCCACGGTTGCTCCGCTGTCGATCCGCCGAATGCGCTCTTGCACCGCCGGAATGTAGCGGAAAGACTCGCACCAGTCGCCGAATCGCTGCGCCGTGATGCCTACCTTCAGCCTGCGTGGGAGGAATGTATGGGTGTTATCGGGACATGAGTGAAGTGGAGGCAACACTGGCTGTAACATAGAGGATCCCATGATGTACGGCCTATGACGGGTGTACTCTCACCGGTAGGCGTTGTTGTAAGTTAACTTCGGGCCATAGCAGGCCTGGATCTGCTTGGCGTAGTCCCAAGGGGCGTTGAACGGCGCTGCACGGACGAAGTTGCCGAATTTCCGCCAAAGGTACTTCCTCTTACGTCCCATACCCGGCCACCACCGGGCCCGCATGCGGCGGTCGCATGTGTGCTCTGCGGGATCGGACAGCTCCACGATTCGCCACGGTCCGTTCCGCTGGAGACGCGCGTAGCTGCATTGCCATGGACAAGGGGGGTCCAACCCAAGCTTCTGACTCTTGCACAATGCTAGCGCCGATGCCTTCCTGGTAGACTTCATGTAGAAACCGTATTTATGCATTACCGCATCATCAAGCAAAGCATAGAGGCAATGATCCCGCGAGGAGTACCAGTTACCCTCCTCAATGGCAGCGTTGTCATTGATAGTAGGCCCCTCTTCGGGTTCAAACTCTACATCGAAGTTCTCCAGTATAATGTCATACATGTCACGGCCATTAGCCGGAGGTTCTTCCATCGTGTATCTGATACAACACCTAGGTTATCCACTCGCTATATGTACATGGTCATCTGGTGGCCTCGCTTTTTAACGGCGAGACGCCAACACATGTGTACGCCATGTAGAACTGTCTCTGGTGAGACGACTACGGTGGACTCGGAAACCCTGACAATTCGTACAACAGCTAGGAACAACAATAATTCAGTTGGCAGTCCCAGGTGCCAACTTACTGGCAGCGGCTGCCACCGGTGCGAATCGTCAGAACTCGCGGCGCCTGAATCGTGTTATGTTCGCTGGCGCGTTTATTATCAGATTCTGAACGCACTGTACCCAATCAAACGTCGCCTTGTGGCATGTATATGGTAAAAGTGGCGCGATGATGGCAAAATTACACGGACCGTTAAAAAACTCGCAGATCGGCCGCCAACACAACGATTCGCATGCATTCTTGTATGACGTGTCTGACGCAAGTACTCGCACGTGGAATCTAGTTCAGAACGTCAGAATCGAACCGAGTCGCCCGACAGATGAAGTTGTGTAGCGTAGGGTCCAGGTTACGTTTCTGTAGAACCGCGTGGCACGCCCGAAAGAATTGCTAAATAACACTGGCCAGTCTTGTTTCGCCACGTTCAACCCCACAAACCTCCATTCCCCCACAGTTCTGAACCGAAACTAATTGCCGAACCTGGACGCGCCACACATACGCCGAACCGACTTCCACAGTGTCAGGAGCAAAATGCCCAATAGGATGAAACTACGTGGCAGGGAAGCTCGAAGTCAACTAGCAAACTGCCCACCGACAATTTGGAACCCACCGAAAAAAAAGGCCTTATGGTGTTTAAATGAAGCTAAATCCGGGGAGCGCGCACCGCTCGGGATAAAAGGTGGAGCGTGTGCCTTTCGGGTTGTGTAAAAATTTGGGCGCGATGAAAAAAATTCGCGAGACCAAAACCCGCGCCGCGGCAATTCTCTCCACAAAAGTTCAACTATCGAAGTTGAACTTTTGCAGCCCAGCCGAGCCGCGACCTACACTCGTAGGTTACCCGGTTTGGGCTCTTGACTCGCGCTGACGAGCACCCTCGTGCGCACGATGCTACCATAGCTGCGAGCGTCGCAGTATTCGCATCGTCGCTGTCAGTGATGAGTTGGACACACGCTTGCACATTCGTGCCAACATGTTTGTTGATGAGAGTTCAACTTAGGAGCTCAACTTTTTTAGATGCCGACATTGTACATAGACACACGACGTCCAGGCGAACGATTTGACGAAATTAACGAATAGGGTAACCAGCAAAAGTTCAACCAAAAATCCGAACGTCTACACCAAAAGACACGCGCCCTTAGCCTGCTCCTCTCATTTTTTAATAGGATCCTTCCCTGCTGGGTAACAGGCAGACAAGGCTGGTAGCTCTGCTGCCACAGCCCCTCCTGCTCCTACCTTTCTCCCTTTCCTCCACTTCCTCCTCAGCATCTCCCGCCATTAACCTCCTTTCACAACCCCCACGGACACTACTTAAACTACACATGCGCCATGACACCACCCTTCCCTCTTCTTCCATCCCCTCCAATCGTCCTCCCACATCCATCCCCTCTACTAGCCCTCCCTCCTCCGTTCCCTCTGCTCGTCCCACCCCCTCCATTCCCCGTCCCGCCTCCCCAAACGGCGATTCACCTGCAGCTCCAACAGCTTCCGCTCCTACAGCCAAGTCGCACTCGCGGCTGGAGCCCTCGATGCTCCAGGACTGCGCGATTTCGCCAAAATATTCCACCAGATCCGAAGCCAGCTCCTCGTGATACGACGCGGCCCTCTGCCCTCCGTTTCGCCACCGAGATTCTTCGCCACCCGTTTCGCCACTACGTTTCGTCATTTCGCTAGCGTCGCCCGAACGCGGCGGCGCACGGAGCGCGTCGGCGTTTTCCTGCCCTGCAGCTTCTTGTCGTCCGTCACCGCTGCTAAGACTTCGCATGATGATGTGCGACGGCTGCGACGACTCTCGCGACGGCCGTTGCGACTCTCGTCGCACGAACGGAACAACCGTCGCCGCAGGCTCCTCTTCGCACTCGCTGAAGCTTCGGCGGATCCGCCGCCTCACCGCACCTCCAGCCCGTCCCCGCCGCCGCTGTGGAGAAGACTTCAGAATCGTCCCGCCGCCGCCGGCGGATTTCGCCGTCAATCTGTCGCGCGTGCCGCGGCTCGGCTGCGCAGAAACGCCCTCGACTTCTTCGGCCGCCACGCCGTTTCCCGCTGGAGGGGACGCCGCCGCGCCAGTTGCGGAAGATCCCGCCGTCGCAGCGAACGCGGCGGCGAGGGCAGCAGCATCCCGGCCGCCGCGGTTGGAGAAAATACGCAACTTGCGGATCGCCGTCGCGGCGGGGCGTCGGCTGATAATCGACGGCCTCGCGGCGGAGACGTCGCCCTCCTGCAGCGATTCCGCGGAGACCGGAGCTTCACCCTCCCACGGCGGCGGCTTGGGCCCGCCGATCGAGGCGCGTCCGCTGTCCACGTTCCCCGGCTTCTCGTCTCCCTGCGTGCTGCGCAGCGAGGGGAGGTCGGAGGACACGTTTCGCGCGCGTCGAATGATGTTACGATTTCTCCGTGGCTTCCGCGTTGCTCCGCTGGTTTCGTCGGAAGCTTCCTCCGCCCATAACTCCTCCATGTCGGCCGACGCGGTCGCCCTGTGGCGCACGACGGGCGCAAGCGGGCTGCGCACTGCCGCCAGCGCGGCGGGGCGCCACGCCGGGCTTCCGCCGCCACCGCAAGGGGAAAGACCTTCGGAAGCGGAACTGGATCCCAAAGAGGACAGCGCCGCCGCCGAGCGCTCGCCGTCTTTCCGCCTTCCGGTCGCGACGGCTTCCGCCCATGATCCTTCCGCGGATTGGGAGGAAGCGCTAGGAGAGCATTTTCTCACGCGATTCGGAGTCCTTGGGCTTAGCGCGACGGCGGCTGTGGTGTTTAAAGAGCGCTCGCGGTCTAGCGAGCAGGTTTCGCCGGGGAATTGAGTTCGCACGCAGCGGCGAGCACGAAATGCGGGGGAGTTTGCGAGTGGCCAGACTAAATCAGGAGAGAGATTGGACGGCGAGAGTACTGGACTGTGAACAACCGCAGTCTGAGAGGGTGTCGAGGCCATGCTCCCTCTCGTGCTTTCTGGCAAAAAGTCATTTCGACTCCCACAAACGCAAGGGTTTCAGCAAATGCTGGAAAATAGTCGCAGGTAGCGATAGATAAACGGCATCGCTGACGTGAGTTGCTGAGGGGATGTGTGTGTGTGTGCGTGCTTATGCATTTCGGGCCGAAACCAGTGCAGTACGGGGCAGCCGTGCGTGTTGTGTTTTATGCCAGGCGCGTAGGACTTCTAGGGTAGGACGATGCAGGGCAATGCTCGAATACAGCGACAGTGGGCGAAACCACTCCCCAACTGTCAGTGGGACAGCGAAATTACAGCGAAGAGTGGGCGTGTGGGACTGTGCCGCGGCGCTTTGGGCGGCGAAAGCGCAACAGCCGAAATTAGAAGGTTGCGAAAGGATACACACGGGTCATCCTTGAGGATGTTCGCGGATGCGACCTGCCATTCACTGGCGAGGCGAAGTTCGACGGAAAAAAAGAAGAAAATATCTAAAACGACGTTTTGTGCGGACAGTGCGCACCAACGAATCGGTACAGAATCAAATGGTTGCCCACACTCACCCACGTGATTGGGTGCGTCCGTATTTGCCCCTTCACCGAAATAGTTTCCGGGCCCGCTTGACAAGTTGACACCAAATTGCTCCCAGTGTACACTCACGTGATGGGGTGCGTGCCTTCCTGACCAAATTGTTTCCTGCCCGCTTGACACCAAACAAATTGCTCCCAGGCCCCCAGTGGGAATGCTCATCCAAAATGTCCCAGTGTTTTTGGATAATGGCCAGAAATTCGACTGGCGACCCGACTGTTTTCAAATTTCTCTATCCTATCTAGCACTTGGATGTGCGTTTGGTTGTGATGCCTCGATGAACATGGGAAAGGACAAAATTTCATTGCTTGCCTTACAAATGAGTACGCCTCTAGTGAGTTTGTGGGGGGGGGGGGGGGGGGGGGGGGGGGGGGGGGGGGGGAGATTAATAAGGCCAGATGCCATTTAGGGTTAGGGGGGTATAATTGAATCAGGCCCCAAATTTCAAGGGTATTTTACCCTTTTTGCCTTGATGGTAGGCCACTTTTTGGCAATTACCCTTTTGAAATCAGGGTATGCAGATTTTTACCCTAGTGAAATCAGGATACGCTGAGAAGTACTCTTGTAGGTTTTTCAGTTACACTGACTGTATCAGGGTAGGGGTTCAACTACCCTTTTACCGGAACTTCCGCCACAGTATGCGCCACGACAAAATGCACCACGGTCCCACTGGACCATTTGTTCGTTACACCCACTGGCGCGCCAACGCACATTCAGCACGGATGGCCGCGCACACCTATGATTGGTCCGTTGGGCAACATCAAAGCCAACGCACCCAGTTTTCGTGCGTTCCCGAAGCACCGCTCACTGCCAACGTTGCCAAATTGCGCGCCAGGTGGGGTACGTGCTGTCGTTTCCACCACCTGGCAGTCATTGTGGCCTTGCAGCCTATGCCATGCAGTTCCCTACCAGCGAGGGAACCGTGCTGCCTGAGGCCCTTTGGGCTTTGTGATTCCCGACGGGTCTCTCAGACTCTCGCCATTCTCTCGCTTCCCTCTCGTTTGTTGTTCCGAATGCCTGCCTCTGAGCCTGATCCGCCTGGTAGCACCAGGAACGGTCTCTCCGTTCTCGGTGTTTTACCTCGGCTGGCTGACAACTATAGCATCCCTATCTCTCAGCCTGCGCGTGAGCCATCCCCTGAATGTCTTGTCGGCACCGTTTTCCCGTGCGAACGTTCAGCCTCGCCAAAGTCCCGGGAGCCACACCCGTCTCTCGAGCTTGTTCCCGATGGCGGCGAAGGCCCGTCGAAGCCAGCCACTGCAGCACAGCGCAGCGCTCGTAAAGCGACAGCGTGTGGGCGTGACATACAAGCAGCAGAGGCTCTGGGGCGCCCCTCCTCCACGACAAGCGGCATCACCACCACGCCGTGCTGCTCCTGCTCAGCCGAAGCCTCCAACCGCTTCAGCAGAAGCTGAGTACGAAGCGGTAAAAGCAACTTTCGATTCCCAATGGTCAGGTAAATTCAGCTGGCTTCGCTTAATGCGCATGACTAACGGCAGGCCGTCATTGAAATGTGCCATCTGCATCAAGCACGGAGATCCAAACGCGCACACTGCCTACGGCGTCAGAGGTGAGGGTGCGCGAGACATGCAGCTAGGGAGCATCCGCGCGCACACATCCAGCAGAGCCCACAAGCAGGCCTTGGAAAACAAGGCCAAAGCAGACGCGGAAAAGGCGAAGCAAGCCACACTAACAAGGTGGCAGAGCACCGACGCAGCTACACGGCACATCATCCGCTGCCTCCACATCGCGCTCTTCATCTGCAAGGCTGACGCGCCAATAGCCATGTTTGTTCCATTGTGCTGGTTTTTGGCTTAGGAAGGATTGCCGGACCTTCCTCCGTCTGGAGGGTACGGCGCCTACTACACCGAGTAAGTGCGGTTTCTGGCGCTTGTGTTTGTTCCATGTCTCAAGCTGACGAGATACTAATGCAATCTGTGTTCTGGTGCCTTGTGTTTTGTCCTCGCAGCTACGGATTCAAAGAGATGCTGCGCGCCACCTCCACGTACCTTCAAGAGACTCAACGCGGCCACCTGCTGGAATCCCCATGGATAGGGATTTGTCTCGATGAGAGCACCGACCGGGTGAATGGCAAGCACCTGATTCTCTATGCAACATTCTTCAAAGGGACCGCACCGGTAACGTGGTTCTTAACTCTGATTCCCGTGGACCGTGCCGATGCGGCCTCGCTAACCTCCGCTGTTGTGCAGTACCTTACAGGAATCGGGGTATCTCCAGAGGATTTCCGGAGTATCTACGGACGGGGCCAGTGTGATGACCGGTAAGAACAACGGGGTCGTCGCGAGGCTGCGACTGCGCATTCCACACTTGGCTTCGACTCACTGCGTCGCTCACAGGTACGGAGGTTGGTTCTGGATTTTTATTAAGTACCAGATCAGCGACGAATTAACGTTCTGACATGCTCCACTCGAATGCGCAGGGAGGCATTGGCAGCTAAGGATGTCGCGGAGGCAGTCCCCGAGCTCGGCATGGTGGACGACGTGGTGCGAGCTTTCTCCGAACACATCGGCCGCAGCAGCGTGGATTACATCAAGTTTCAGAATCTGCAGCGCGTCTACTGCCAGACGAATCTGGAGGCGCAGGGCATACACGACGTGCGCTGGCTCTCCCGTGGCGAGGCGATCCAGCGGTTCCTTGACGTTCTGCCTGCAGCCATCGTCGTGCTGAAGGATTACAAGAAAGACTTGTACAAGGTAGTCACCTCGTTCAAGTTCCACTGGCTCATCCGCTTCCTCGCGGATGTGCTGTGGGAGCTCAACCAACTCAATCTGCGCTTTCAGCAACGTCAGGTAACACACTGACAAGGGAATTCTTACTTACACGCACGCCTGCAATGCTCCTACTGACCTCGTGTTTTGTATGTGTGCAGGTGGACGTCACCCTCGTGGCGCACCTTGTTCAACAGACGCGGATGCGCCTGAAGGCGCGATACTTCGACAGGTCCCCTGGTCACTTTTTTGGCAACGGAGAGAAGATGCAGCTGCCTGATTTCATCAAAGCTCACCAGAAGTTGGATCAGCGTGAAATGAAAGCGGAAGGCGTTGACGCGGATGGCAACGCCGTCTCCTTCGAATTCACCCTGCACGAACGCCCCCTGCCAGGCCATGAGATTGAGGGTGATGTAACCGCGTGCTTTGAGCTTTCGCTCAAGTTCATCCGCAAAGTGGACGAGGAGCTGGAGTGGCGCATGCGCGACCTCAGCCACCTGGAAGGCGCCAAGTTGTTTTGCACAGCGTCGTATCTGTCCGATGACACCAAGCGACTGGAGGCCTTCAGGAAGTGGCTTGGCCAGCTCCACAAGCTGTACAACCACAAGTTGCCTGGTAAGCGTGCTTGTCTTATGTGTCGGGTATTTGAGATTGACATGCCGGCTACAGCTTTGCACCAGCTTGTTTCCCATTGCGCTTCTTGCTGCTCATCACCCGGCCCTGTATTGTTGGACTAATGCCTCCCACTCCTACCCGTATGTATGAGCATATGCCAATTATCAACCCCTTCCGCACTACCAGGGTTCGACTACAAGCGTGCCGGCCAGGAGCTCTGGATGTTTACCTCGACCATGTTCTCCCAGCACAACGGCGAGAAGTTTCATCAGGCGCTGGGGAACATGCTGCGCGACGAGGCGTGGCGTGCTTCGTTTCCCAACATCGTCCGGATGTGGCAGTCTGTCGCCGTGCTACCACTGAGCACGGTTGAATGTGAGCGCGGCTTCAGCAAGCAGAACCTGATCAAGACGTGGGACCGCGGCAGCCTCGGCGACACAAGCCTTGAGCACCTGATGCGGTGCTCCCTCCTTCAGTACGACATAGACTGGTACGAGGTGGTCGCCATATTCCGCGGTGAGAAGCTCAGGCGTTCCACCAAGGACTTCGCCGGCATGAAGGCCAGCACTGCGCAATTTGCAGACGAGGCAGTCGCTAGTGCAGCAGACGTTGATTGACTAGTGGCTGTAGAATGGTTTATTTAACTAGATAGTTAGTAATGCTTGTGTGGAGAACACTTTATTGATAAGTAACTGTTGGTGTAGTAGATATTCCTGCGTAGAAAGGAAACAGTGTATGAGATACATTGCCCTGCTCAAATCAGTGTACTAGAACTTTTAGGCTGCTACAATCAGTGTACGGAAAAATTTACCCTACCAGTCAGGGTACGGAGGGCCTGCCACCCTGATTTGAAAGAGTGAGCTAAAACCTATTTTGGGCCGTGAATTGAATAGACTCAAATAGTACAAACATCGATTGTGTTCAAACTAGTACACTTGCAACGAGCCTCCCCTTGACTACATTAAGCTTTGTACTACAAGCTCAAAAGCCTCATGAAGCATCGATTGAGATTCATCTCGTCTCGGCCATCAAGTACAATGAGCACTCTGCCCTTGAAACAGAAGAGGAGACAGGCAGACACTGTATACCATCCATTACCAACATCAGCAGCAGCACCCACCAGGACACCACCAACGGCAGCACCAGGGCATGGCACTTCCAGGGGTGCTGCTAGCAGATGACAGCTGGAGAAGACGCTATCGGACATGCCATCACAGGTGCAAAGAGAGGGTGACTTTTGGGTCGACTCAGCAACAGTCGTCACGCACGCGCCCTGCAGTGAACAAACACGTTCCCTGCAGCCCACACGCAGCTCCCCTGTCCCATCACAGCCGAAGCGAGTTTTGCGACGTCCCTATTGGCACAGCGCAGACCTCTCATCCCTTCACACCAGCATGTACCTGCACTGCAAGTCAGTGCCTCTCATGACACCATTCCCACACCTTCTCCCCCTATCAGCCACAGTGATCGGCAGTCTACAGCACTCGCCAGCAGCCGTGCCTGCAGCAACTGAACGAGGGTCACGACAGCAGCGGCACATCCCCAAAGGCCAAAGGTGCCCCGTCCAGTCCAGAAGCCAGTCTTGAATTCCCTCACAGCCGCAGCAAGTTATCGCGGATGGCCTCCCATGTCTCTCCCATGTCTCTCCCATGCCACTCCCATGTCTCTCACAATCGCAGCGAGCGGCTGGCAGCACCAGCCAGCAGCCGCGCCCGCAGCGCCACGTCAGCAGCAGCGCGGTCCCGCCCTTCCCGCCTCTCCCTCTGGCGCTGGTTCTTGGCGCGCTTGGGTGCCAGCCGCTCATTGCGCGCCACAAACGCCAGCCTGAACCGCTCTGCTATTGACAGCTCCTCCTGTGCCTCTGGTTTCTCTTGTGCCTCTGGTACCTTTGATCCTGACTTCACCTTTACTCCTGACCCTCTTGTCACCAATCCCCTCCTCCCCCCTCCTTCTTCCTCTCCTCCCATTTCCTCCGCCCCATCCTCCTCTTCGTCTTCATCCTTATCCCCCTCGCCAGCACCCCTCTCCCACACTGCCGGGGGGATACCGACCAGGTGGGGGCAGTCGAGGGGGAACGAGGGAAGGCTTGTAGGGGGGTGCGGGAGAGGAGGGCGGAGGGAAGGGCGGAGATGGGAGAGAGGGGGAGAGGAGGAGAGGGTGCGGTGGAGGAGGGGAAGGTGGGGATGTGAGAGTAAACGAGAGGCAGAGAGTGGGGGGGAGGGGGAGAGGGCGGGGCGGGGTTGAGGAGGATACGTGGGCACTTGGAAGCGAGCAGCGCTGCTGTGTTGGGGTCTGCCTCGGGCTGATAAGGGGGGGATGGGCGGGTGGAGAGGGGGGAGGGAAGGGAGAGGATGTGAGAATGATGGTTAATGGATATGTGAGAGATGAGAACGATGGACAAAGGGGTACGGCAAACGCAGGTTGACTTTAGGTTGTTTCTGAGAATTCTCAGAACCGACCTATGCAAACGCAGGTTGACTTTAGGTTGTTTCTGAGAATTCTCAGAACCGGCCTATGCAAACGCAGGTTGAGGGTGATGATATCATTTTTGAGAATTCTCAAAAGTGGTGAGAGTGAATTCATGCGGGTGAATGACAATGGTAGGGGAAGGGGAAGGCGATGAATGGTGAAGTGGAGTGGTGGGACGAAAGCATGGGTGTGAGGGGTGGAAGGTGAAAACAGCGGAAGCACATCTATGGGGCAAGTAGCACAAGCAAGAGGCACACGCAAGGGGCACATGCAAGGGGCACTGGTGAACAAACCACCCACACCAGCCACCCAGCCACCCGCTTCCCCCTCCCCTCACTTCCCCCCTCTTCTCCCCCTCCCCTCCCCCCCCCCCCACACACACTCACCCACACGAGCCATCTGAGAGCAGGAACCCTCTCTTCCAGCAGCTCCTCCACTTCCTCCCAGCTACCCTCCCCTCCTTCCCCCTCTCCTCGCACCGTCTCCTCCTCTTCCTCCCCTTCCACTCCTGCATCTGCGCTCTGTGCACCTTCCGTACCCCTTACAGGCTGCTGCGGTAGCATCCACTTGACTGCCGCTCTGGCGACCTTGTTACAAGCAGGGGAGCCCCTGCGCAGGAAGACAGGAAGGGGGATAGAGGGACGAAGGGGAGAAAGGGGAGAAGGGGAAGGGGAATCGAGGGAAGGGAGAAGAGGAGGAGGAGGGGAAAAGAGAAAGGGATTAAGGAGGAACAGAAGAAGAGGAGAACGGGGGGAAAAGGGAAGGGAAGCTGGGAAGAGGGGAGTAAGGGAGAAGGGGAAAAGGGGAGAAGGGGAAAAGGGGAGAAGAAGGAAACGGGAGAAGTAGAAAAGGAGGGTAGAAAGGGGACGGGATGAATCATGGTAGGAAAAAAGAGGGGGTGGGAAGAATAGTGAAGGAAAGAAAGAGGAAACTGAGAGTTCAAAAAGCTTCGGTCGGAAGTGTGGGTGAGTGGATGGGTGGGTGGTGGCTCACCCCATGAGCAGCACCTGCTTGCCGAGTTGACTTTTGAGTCGACTCAAAAGTCGAGTCAACTCAAAAGTCGAGTCGACTCAAAAGTCGAGTCGACTCAAGAGTGAATGGGTGGGTGGTGGCTCACCCCATTCGCAGCACCTGCAGGGCGGGGCAGGCCTTGAGAAGGAGTGTGAGCGCGTGGAGCGACACGGCGTTGCATTCTCTGATGGACACACACGGGTGTGAGAGGAGCGCGGGAAGGAGTGCACAGGGGGAGTGGGGGGAGAGTGAGAGCAGGGGAAAGAGGGGAGGAGGGGGGGGGAGTGTGATGATAGTGACGGCAATGGTGGGTGCCGGTATAAGGTTTAAGGAAAGATGCGTGAAGAGCCTGAACAGCCGAGTGAAGAGAAGTGTGAGGCTGCTATGAATGCTCAACCTGATGCGTGAAAGAAGAGCCTTCTTTGGTGGCTAGATACCCGGTGCTTCCCCAGGTCACTTGAAAATATATCTGAAGTCTCACCTGAAGACTCACCTGAAGACTCACCTGATGTCTAAAGCTACAAGGGTGGGGCAGGTCTGTGCCACGTGGCAAAGGCTTTGGTCTGACACGTCAGAACCACTCAAGTCCACGATCTGCCACGTGTCATCCACCAGCGCCTCCAGCAGCCAATCAGAAAGCAGCCCTCGACGCCTTGCAATGGCTGTCAGTGCCAGCTGTATTGACACGTGCACCAATGGAGAGAGCGGAGGTGGAGGGGGGAGACGGGGGTGAAAGGGGGGAGAAGGGGGGGAGGGTGTGGGGGGAATGGGGTGGGGTGCGTGGGTGGTGGGGAGTGGGAGGGTTGGGGGGCAACGAGGAGGAACAGAACAGGTGAGTGTTACTAGAGACGTGGAGAGGGGGAAGAAAGGGGAGCAGCGACACAGCATGGACACATTCCCAACGGCATACACAATAGCAAGAGCATGGGGAGTGTGAGGCGGGCAGGTGGCAGCTCCTGTCAACCCCAACAGGCACAACCACTGCTCTCAGCACTGAGCCCTGTGCATGTTGGCAAGCGACCTCTTTCTGTAATGCACCTATCTACTATCTACTATCTAGACCTCTCTGCCCCCACCTTGTAACTGCACACGCCAACATGCAATGCCCCGCCATGCCAATGCATGCAAGCACGCACCCTACCCACCGCGCCCATGCACCTACCCTACCCTCGACCCATTGCCCATGCACCTCGGCAATGACCCCCCATGCAAATGACCAAACACATGCAGTTACGCACCCGCGCGTGGGGCGGCAGCAGCGCAACAAAACCCCTCAAGTCGAACTCGCATGCGTTCATGCGGAGCAGGTGAGGCAGGTAGCGCCCCACCTCGCCCACACACAGCTGTAACAGTGTTGGCACCGGGGGAACTGAAATGGGGAAGGGGGAGATGGGGGAAAGAGGAGGGAGGGGAAAAGGGGGGTAAGGGAGGCTGCAAGGGGGGGAGGCAAGGCAGGTAGCGCCCCACCTCGCCCACACACAGCTGCAGTAGTTTCGGCACGGGGGGGGCTGAGACGGGGAAGCGGGAGATGGGGGGCCAGGGAAAGCGGGAAAAGGGACATCAGGGTGAGAGAGGGAGGTGTGAGGGATGTGGGGGTGGTGGGGGAAAAGAGCAATGGGTTCGTAGCAGGAAATAATCGCCCAAAAAAAAAAAATCAGGTTGTGGGAAACAAAATACGCGATGGGGGACGTGGGGGGCTGGCGTGAGAGGGGAAGATAAAGCGGCCAGGCTGGGTTGGGTGGAAAGGAGGGAGGCACAGGAGGCAACGACCCACCCTACCCCTCTTCCTCTACCCACCCCGCTCCATCTACCCACATCCCCTCACCTCACCCCACCTCACCCGACCTCATCCCTCCACCCCGACTCTCCTTCCTCGTTTCCCCCCTCCCAACATCCACCTGTCTGTCATCCCCCGTCCGCGCATCTTTCCAATGAGTCCCCATCTCACCGTCTCGCCCGCGCGTCCCAGTCGCGAAAGTCAGCACAAATCGCCCCGCCGCCATTTCCCGCTTGCTCTGCGCGTCCTTCGCCTCTTCTTCGCCGCCGCGACTCTCGCCGCCTGTTGCGCCGCGTGCCACGCCGTCAATCGCGGGCCCTGTGCGATCCCCTACTAGCCCGTCAGACCTAGACTGCGAAACGCCGCGCTCGCGGCGCCAATAGTCCGGAGCGGCGCCGCCAAAATCTACGGCGGCTCGCAGCGCGGCCGCTTCCTCCGCTAACGACGGCAGACGCGGTGCCTCTCCGGCGGTACCCGCGGTGGCAGCGGTGGAGGTTGCGGCGGGATTTGCGGGCCGGCTTGCTGCGGGAATCGCGGAGGAGTCTTGGCAAAAAGCGCAGGTGCAGTCGGGGGTGCCGCGACAGCGATGATTGACGACGGACGTGGGGAAGCGACGTCGCGACGCCATCTTATCGCACTACTCTCATGGAATATACGGAACGAGCAGGCAGAGCAGAGGGATGTGATGTGCGTTAGCCACAGGAAAGCGTGTGAAACAAGAAAGAGCAGTGAGGGGGAGGGAGTCTGATTTGATTGATCAGATTCATTGACAATTTACGTTTTGACAAGTCTAGTCCAGGGTTTAGGTCAAAAGGATTGTGTGTTTCACAAATCAGTGCGAAGAGTGTTTATACACGGTACAGATAGTGCGCTACTTCGGTGCTCGAAGTTTGATATAAGTTTCTTCCTTTCGCAGTTAAGAAAGGCTCGTCGCGTATGATTGGCTGGGACTTGAAGGGTTTCTTATCTGGTACAATAATCAAGCTGTTCAGTAACTCCTTATCAGTCAAGCTGTAGAAAAAACATTTATTAAAACACGTTATTCATATCCTAGCCAGCTGTAACCCTCGCTAGCATAGCATAATAGCAAACAAATATTGGACACCAGCACCAGACCCTCATATAGTACAACAAAGCCCACCCATAAAACAAAAGAATGTTAATCTTCAAGAAAGCCACAGCCAGAGCCCCCCGAAACGTGTTCGTCACAGTCAGCCCCCCCTCCTGTTGCCCCTCATCCCCATAAGTCCCCTCAGTCCTCTCCAATACCCCCCCCCCCCCCCTCATAGTACGTCGGCCCATCCCCACCACCATCCCCCCATCAAACCCCTCACCCCTCACCACCCCTTTCCGCCGCTTTAAAACGTGTTGGCAGTGAGTTCAAGACTGCTCGAAGACCCCACCATGCGGGACGCACCGAACACAGAGACCTCATAGTACGTCGACCCATCGCCACCACCATCCGTGCCGTATGCCAGCAGGCTCGCCATGGCCTCCAGGTAAGGCATCTCCACCCGCCCATCCTCGTCCACTGCCCCGTTACCACCTCCGTTGCTGCCCGTGCCATCCCCGGCACTGCCACTGCCAGCATCTGCCCCCCCGGACCCACCAGAACTGCCGGCGTCTGCTGCTGGGTCGGCTCCTTTTGTCTTTTTTCCGCTGCTGCCGCTGCTCTCCCCGCCGGTTTTTGATCCCTTTCCGCCCTTGCCGCCCTTCTTCCCGCCCTTTCGGCCCAGTGTTTGGAGGGACAGGGCTGCTGTTTCCGCTTTGTCCTTTAGTTGGCTTGAGAGAGGCGCGCCGCTGGGTTGCTTTGGTTGGACAGCAGCTGCAGCGTCGCTTAGCGAGGCAGCTTTTATCGAGGATGAGGAAGCTCCTGCAGACAGTGACTGTGGATGGTTCTTGTTCGCAGTTCCGCCCTTCTTCCCTCCCTTCTTCCCTCCCAGCTTCTTCCCAATAGCAGCAAAAGCCCCACCTAACGCCCCAGCCACACCCCCTGCTCCACCCCCACCACCCCCACCTCCCCCATTTCCCCCACCACCAACATTCCCAATCACCCCCGGAAGAAACTTAATCTTCCCCTTACCCCCCTTCTTCTCGGCGCCACTCCCTCCGCTATCCGAGCCCACCTCCCCAGCACCAGGGGGGTACTGCAGGCCAGCAGCAGCGTCAAGAGTGAGGTAGCCCGCACACATGAAGAGCCCCATACGCGGGTTGGCCCAGTGCGAGTGCGCGCAGTGCAGGGAGAGGGGCGGCATGGCGTGGGTGTCGTTGTAAATGCGGAGGAGAGGCGAGAGCGGGTCCTCTTCCGGATCCACTATGGCGACGACATAAGAGAGGTTGTACTGAGATGCTCTGGTGGGATGGGAAGGGAGGAGGTGGGGGAGGAAGGGAGGGAGGGGTGCATTGATTACTGCAGTGCAGGCCAGCTGCAGCGTCAAGTGTGAGGTATCCCGCGCACATGAAGAGCCCCATACGCGGGTTGGCCAAACAGCTATGGGCGCAGTGCAGGGACGTCCTCTGACGCCCACCAAGGTACACCCTCCGAGTTGCCCCCACCAGCTTTCACCATGTGCTCACTCAATGGTGAAGGCCTACAGGCAATGGTGATGATGATCCTTCAATGGCATTGGGCACTCAGACGATTTTTGAGGCTTCTCAGAAGTGCGCCAAAGGCTGCGCTTACGTAAGCCATCTTTGGGGCGCCTCTAACAACCAGCAAGGCACTCAGAAGCCACGTGCTCATAAGTGCTCACAACTTGCAAAAACGGTTGGAACAACTTGCGCATGCGGCTGTAACAGCTAGTGGGCAGGCACTCACTCAGAGGTGATGTGCACATAAGCGCCGCCTGTCATGGCATCCACGAGCGCAGCGCTAAAGAGAGGGCTTTCCAGTGGGACAGCGAGTTGACCGGGGTTGCCTGTGAGGGTTGATAGGGACAGGGCAGAGTGGTGTGGCGTGCTTGACTCAATAAGACATTGCATCGGCAAGGGCAGCGCTGAAGGGAGGACACTCCAGTGGGACAGCGAGGAGACCGGGGTTGCCTGGTGGGTGGAGGGGGGCGGGACGGAGGGGTGTAGCGCACGTGTCGAAACTCAATAGGAGCCGCCAGTCATGGAGCGCAGCGCCAGTCATGGACCGCAGCGCCAGTCATGGAGCGCAGCGCCGAAGAGAGAATGCCTCTTCTAAGAGGTCACTCTCGGTCACTCTCCAAAGGGGTGGTGAGGAGACCGGGGTTGCCTGGGGGGAAGGAGGGAACGATAACGGAGGAGAGGGAGGATGCTATCACTCTCCGTTTCGAGACGTCTTGGAACTTTGGTTCGTCCTTCATGCAAAAAAAAAAGCGAAGGGGAAAGCGGACGGCATTGTGGGAAGAGGGGAAAGGCGGGGACAGTGGGAAGGAGTGCGGGGGGGGGGAGACGAGGGTGGGAGGGGGGCAGAGCGTGGTAGTACAAAGGAATAGCAGTTACAGTGAGCATTCAAATGCAAAGAATGCATGCCCTTCCACCAAACACTCTTCCACCAAACCGTTCTCTTCCCAATTAACCACCCTTTTTAACCCAACCAATTCCTCCCCACCCACGCAACCACACCCCACCCACCGATTTTCTTTGCGTTGCCCCTTTCCAATCTGGCAACGGCCAGCTTGGGCGGTTCGTCCAACAGTCACGCTTCCCCACCAAATCCTCAACTCCCCCCCCCTCCCCCCTCACCCGACCCCTCTCAACACCCTCTCTCTCCCCCGTCCCCCAACCCCACCCACCGAATTTCTTAGCGTTGCCTCTCTCTAGGCTCGCAACGGCCAGCTTGGGTGGCTCGTCTGAGTATCCCGGGGGAGACACCGTTTCCACCGTGCACTCGACCACCAGCACCCTTTCCCGATTGAACCACATCCCACCCACCATGACAAACCTCCCACCAAATCAAACCACCCCCAACCTACCAAATTTCTTAGCGTTGCCTCTCTCCAAACTCGCAACGGCCAGCTTGGGTGGCTCGTCTGAGTATCCCGGGGGAGACACCGTTTCCACGGTGTACTCGCCGACCAATTGCGGCCTGCCACCTGGCGCGAGCTCCTTGGTCATGGTGTCCGTGCCGTCCTGGAAGAGCACCGAGCCGTACGTCTCCCAAACCGTTGGCACCACTTTCAACCACTCTGTACCTGATGGGGGTGAACGGGGGCGCGCAGGTGGCACGTGGAGGGGGTTGGGCGGGGCGTGGGAGGGGTATCGAGGGGGTGGGGGTCGGGGAGGGGAGGGGGGGAAAATGGGGAGCGGGGGGTTGTGAGAGGTGCAGACGTGTAGAGGCGTGGCAGCAGTGGCAGCAGTGACGAAACCACTAAAGGGAGTCACGGAAAGGGCATAGGGGAATGGTTGGGGAAAGGGGAAAGAAAGAGGGTGCGACAAGGGAGGAGAAAGAAAGAGCGATTGAGGGAGGGACGGAGGGAGGGAGGTCGGGAGGGAGCGAGGAGGGGGAAGCAGGAGTGAGAGAGAAAAGGGACAGGGGGGTGTGGAGGGGACAGAACGAAGATGAGAAAACGCGAGAGAAGGAAAGGAGGAAGGGAAAGCAGAGGGGGAACAGCGAGGAAGAAGGGAAGGGAGGAGAGAGAGGGAGCAGCTAGCACAGACCACCAGGGAGCGCACTGCCGTACCTCCGTTCCCTGTCGTACCTCCCTGCCGCCCCTCCCTGCCCAACCTTCCTGCAGTACCTCCCTGCCCAACCTCCATGCCGTCCGTACCTCCCAGCCGTACCTCCCGGCCGGTACCTCCCTCCCGAACCTATCCGCCGTACCTCCGTTCCCAGCCAGCGTCTGCAGCTCGACGGCGGTGTCCTTGCCGGCCGGCGCGGACGGCAGCATGGCAGGGTTGCGGTAGAGCGTCACGTTAAGGGGGAGAGGGGAAGGGAGGAGAGGGGAGAAGGGAGAGGAGAGGGAGCAGCTAGCAAAGACCACCATTGAGGCGCTCTGCCGTACCTCCGTTCCCTGCGAGCGTCTGCAGCTCGACGGCGGTGTCCTTGCCGGCCGGCGCGGACGGCAGCATGGCGGGGTTGCGGTAGAGAGTCACGTTGTACGGGGGAGAGGGGAAGGGAGGAGAGGGAGCAGCTAGCAAAGACCACCAGTGAGGTGCTGTGCCGTACCTCCGTTTCCTGCCATACCCCCCTGCCAAACCTTTCCACCGTACCTCCGTTTCCTGCGAGCGTCTGCAATTCAACGGCCGTGTCCTTGCTGGCCGGCGCGGAGGGCAGCATGGCCGGATTGCGGTAGAGCGTCACGTTGTAAGGGGGATCCCACGACCCGCCCACCGTCAACTCGAACTGAATGCTGGTGGGGGGGGGGGAAGCGGGAGGAAGCCGGAAGGGAGCAGGCACGGGCGTGAGCGGACGGCAGCATGGCCGGATTGCGGTAGAGCGTCACGTTGTACGGGGGATCCCACGACCCGCCCACCGTCAACTCGAACTGAATGCTGGTGAGGGTGGGGGAGGAGCGACGGGGAGTGGGGAGGGGCGAGCGGGGGTGGGGAGGGGAAGTGGGGAGAGGAGGGAGGAGGCAGGGGTATGAGCGGAGGGCAGCATGGAAGGGTCGTGTTGTGAGAGTGCTGCTGCGAGGTGGAAAGATGGAGAGTGCCGACACGGACGGCAACGGTAGAATGGAGGGGGTTGCGGTAGCGAGTCACGTTATAAGGGGGATCCCACGTGCCGCCCACCGTCAACTCGAACTGAATGCTGGTGGGGGGCGGGGACGTGGGCGGCCGGGGGGAGCGTGGGGGAGTGCAAGCGGGGAGACGAGGGAAGACGCAGGAGCATGAGCGGCAGGAGCTTGGAGGGGTTGTGTTGTGAGAGTGCTGCTGCGCCGTGGAAGCATGGAGAGAAGGTGAGGACGAAGGCGCGGAGAAGGCGCGCAAAACGAGCGGAGAAGGCGCGGAGAAGGCGCGCAAAACGAGCGGAGAAGGCGCGGAGAAGGCCAGTAGGGGGAGGTGGGGAGGAGGTGGGGAGGGGTAAAGGGGGAGCGGAAGGGGGAGAAGGGATGGCGGACGAGGGGCATGCGGAGGCGAGAAAGCGGGGTAAAAACGGAGAGAGGGGGACAGAAGGAGAGGGACGACCCAGCTGACGCTCTCACCTCTCCGCTATAGCAATTGCCGTTATGCTCTTAATCGACGTCCCGCGCGCCATGGCGGAATAGTAGGCTGGCGAGGGGACATGGGCGGAGAAGCGGAGGGGAAGAGGAGGAAAAGGAGTGTGGAAGTGCAAGGGAGGGGAAGGGGGAGGGTGGGTGGGGATGGGAAGAGGAAAGAGGAGGTGGAGAGGGGCAGTGAAGTAAGTAAGAGGGGGAGGTGGGTGGTGGCCAGTAGATTGCTGTGCTATACTCGCGTCGTCCACATTGGTAGATACACGGACATGCACTCGCGCACGTGCGAGATCGAAGACATCGTATGGACGAACGAGCGCCTGTTGTAACCGTGAAACCGTGTACCACACTGTTCGCTGCTATTTACCGCCACTCTGCCGCAGCTGTTCGCTTATCGCTCATCATCCTTACTCTCCGCAGTTCGATACTCTTCGCTCGTCTTATCGCGTTGTAGCGCCCATGCCAAGCCGACTCAGAAGCCGTCGGCGAAAGATAGTCGTGTATCGCTGATTGTCGCATGATCATTACGACGGCTGCTTTCCTCTTCTTCTTGCTCGAGCGCTCGCCGATTGCTCTTCGCCTACAGCCTTCGCCAATGGACTTCGCCTGTGTCTTTCGCTAACGGCATTCGCCTATGCTTTTCGCGTATGATCCCCTACGAACTCTTCCTTTCGCCTTCGCCTTACGCCTTCGCCTGTGGCCACCGAGTATCGTCTTCGCCAATGGCTTTCGTCTAAGGTGGTAACCCCGCCGTGTCGCTCACCTAGACCCGCGTTCGAGTCTCTCTTAATCCTCCTTTATCCCTGCCCTCCGCCGCCTTTCGAGGCGCCTCAACTGCTCACCTAGGCCCGCGCTGTTCTCCCTCTTGTTCTTGTTCTTGTTCGGCTTGCCCGACGCCGCGGGGGAATGCGCGAGCGCCAGAACCGCTGGGGAGGTACGGGGAACGCGGAGAGATGGACGGGGGGAGGGGAGGAGAAAGGGGGAAAAGGGATGGTGGGGAGGGAGTAGGGGGGGCGGGGGGAAGGGGAAAAAGAGGATCTGGGAGGGTGACTGGGGATGGGTGGTGGGGGATGGGGGATGAGGGAATGTTAAGGCGGATGGTGAGGGAAGTGAAACGACTCGAGCCGCGCAAAGTGGACGATGGCGCGACGAGGGAGGCGACTGAGTTGACGCGGGCGACGATTCCCTGCGACGATTCCGTGCGACGATTCCGTGCGGCGATTTCCTCGGAAATTCGAGCCAACACTCGGAGAAAGACACTAGGTTGCGAGACAGCGTGTTGACGGAAAAGAAACATAAGCTCGTAAGCGCGAGAGAGGCACGGAGGTTTTATAGCGAGTTCTTGCTACAAACGCGTACATAGGATGAGCGCGATGCAGCATCGTCGTAGATGAGATCGGTTCGCACAGTGCCGCGTATGAGCCATGGCTCGCGCAGCCACCTCGGTGTAATATGTGCTAACGGCTATGTGGTTCTAGAGGTCCTACTGGATTATGTAATCTTATTGGCTATGTGATACTAAAGGTCCACGTGACTATGTACTGTTAACGTATTATCAATAGTTTTAACGTGTAATGTCCTCGCTGATAAGTTTCCACGCTTGAGTTTCCAGTGACAGAAGCCAAGTGCAGTGACAGTGACTATGGGTGCAGGGAACTGGTGCGATGCGGCTGTTTGTGCTGAATGTTGGTGCTGGGTTGGTGTGTGGGTGGAGCAACCACAGCAGATGAGAGCCGCAGCCTGAGTTGCTCGTTGAGACAGAGCAGAGGCTACAGAACGGTACGGGGGGAGAAGGGCGGGTGCAGGAAGGAACCAGGGAAGGACAGGTGAAAGTGCAGCTTTGCAGTCGGGTCGCGCTTCGGGGAGGAGGGAGTGGCAGATGGGACGAAGGGGAAACTGTCCTACATTACTCTGACGTGGCAGGCGGTACAAATCTTTGGTTTGCACAGGCAGGAGAAACCGCAGACAGATACTGTACAGCTTGGTCGCTCCTGGATGGAACGGTTCACTGTACAGTAACGACAAACGACTGTTCAGGTCATACCTGCGCTTCGTCAACGCAAAGAACCTCCGTGTAGAGGGAGCATTACTGTTCCCAAAAGTTAACGAGTCATATTTCAAAAGAGGTCCAACTACCCAGCTAGGCATATTTTGAGCTTAGATTTTCACTTCTTTTCCTCTATTACTAAACCCTGCTATGATACAGATGAAAACGGTGCATAAGGGTACACAATACCATATTGACTAGATGTACCGTATTTACTGTAATTGCAAACAAGCACACATCGAGTAGTTCCAGCCATACCAATAGTGGGATGCACTATGGGGTTGGGTGACACCGTAAGGATACCATGAGCCAGGACACACAGAATTGGCTTACATACGTGGCAACACAAACAAATTGCTGTTTGTATTTTTGTTTGCTCATGACTCTAGCTACTGGTAACAAGGTCGCCAATAAAGAACTCTTCCACTTGATCGAAGACGCGGGAAGCGTGTTGAGGCCTGCAGGAGAACATTTACACAGTAAAGAAAGCACAAACATTGTTATGGTATTAAAACATTTGGATCGAACCACCTTTTAATGAAAATGTAGAAGCCTGAATAAAGGACTCGTACCCATAGAAGCCTTCTGTTGCGTCCTCCCCTGCATTGTTGAGGATGGCATCGCCACCCGGGTGCTCATCCACGTACGATGTGAGGTCGTACACCTGCAGGGACCAGGGGGAGAGAGAATAATCAAGAGACATGAAACTCGGCTTTTGAGCCGTGCACCAGCTTTTGAGGCGCCTCAAAAGACACCTGGGTGCTCATCCACATACAATGTGAGGTCGTACACCTGCAGGGGACCCAGGGAGGAGGGAGGGAATCATCAGGAGACAAGACAGTCAAGAGCCGTGCACCAACTTTTGAGGCACCTCAAAAGCCACTCCGGTGCTCATCCACATACGACGTGAGATCGTACACCTGACGGGACCAGGGGGAGAGATCCATGAGGAGACACGAAACTCAGGAGCCGTGCACCCACTTTTGAGGTGTGTCAATAGACTCTCGGGTGCTCATCCGCGGACGACGTCAGATCGTACACCTAAAGGGACCAGGGGGAGAGAGGTCACGCATGAGACAAGCAGCACAAGAGCCGTGCACTTGGGTTGGGTGGTGGTGACAATAATGAGGAGAGGATGGCACCATCATGAGGGTGCTCATTTAGATACGACATCAGATCGTACACCCAAGTGACCAAGGGGAGAGAGACCCCCCAGGGGACAAGAAACACAAGAGCCGTGCACTTTGGAGATCAGGAGACTCCATTAATACACAGTAATGATGAGTGGAAGCAGTGCTAGCCTTGCAGGCACATAAGTCGACTGGAGAGAGGACTAGACCCAGAGTTGACTCAAAACCCAGACTTGACTCAAAACCCTGAGTTGACTCAAAACCCTGAGTTGACTCAAAACCCTAAATTGAGTCAAAACCCTGAGTTGATTTTAAAAAAGGGACTTGTCTCAAAACCCAAAGTTGACTTGAAAATCCAGAGTTGACTGAAAACCCAGAGTTGACTTAAAACCTGGAGTTGACTCAAAACCCAGAGTTGACTCAAGACCCAGAGTTGACTCAAGACCCAGAGTTGACTCAAGACCCAGAGTTGACACACAACCCATAGTCTACTAAAAAAAGAGGACTAGACTGATGGGTTAAAGAAGAAAAGGGGGTTGAGTAAAGTCAAAAGAGAGGAGCAGGAGGCAAGGGTGGCACCTTGTTCTTGATGATGACCCAACAGTCGTCCCTCTTGTTGACTTGTGTCAAGTCAAAGAGCAGGAGACTTTTGAGTCAAATCACAAAAGAGGAGGAAAAATCTGACTCAACGCAAACGAGAGGAGGCATGTGAGGCACCTTGTTCTTGATGATGACCCAGCAGTCGTCCCTCTTGTTGTGCCTCGCTACCTCCTCCTTAGTGTACACCTTGGATTCCTTGG